GTTCTATGGCAGTGGTTCTCAAACATTGTGCCACAAAAAAATTGGTTCTTAAAATTTGTTCTTATTTTTATTATTTATGACTTGAAAATTCATGAAAAGTAAAGTGCCACGGATCAAAAAATATTAAGAAACACTGACCTATGGACTCATTTCAGGTGGAGTCATTGATCATTAGCTTGAAAGGATCATAAAGTCAATACGGGTTATGATATAAAATGAGGTTAAGAGCTCACAAATTCTCCTGAATTTGAGTCATTTAGGTTTCTAAGGCAAACTATGCAGCTTTGGTTGTGGCATGTGGGCACGTTCAGAGATTGTCTAAAGACAGCTCTATCCTTCGAGACCTTCCTCCAGTTTGGGATATAAAGAACTCAAGCTTTCTTAATGAATCCGATGTCATCCTGAGCATGAGCAGTTAAAGTTTCAAGGCCTCAATAAATCGTCTATGTCTATGATCTATGTATATCTATGTCGAGCGTAGGCTACATCAGGTTCCGTCTTATATCATGCATCATAATTGTCTAAATTCAGAGTTCCTTTAACGACCACACTTAATTATTGTTCATACTAATTACGATATCTTTAATTGGATCTCATTTTTACTACGTTTTTCTTAACTTGCTTTCTTATCTGTTTGATTGATTGATTGATTGATTGTCCGCAAAATTTCGTACTTTTGTAATCGATTTTTCGACCACTTCTACTGCTCCAAACGAGCTTAAATTTTTAATGCACACGTATTCCCGGTGACAATACAATATTTTAACACTTTGGAAACACAAAAATGCTTAATTATAGTACAATTTATGTAAAACTTTTTTATATGGGAAAAAATCCAATGTCAATGATATAAAATTTTGATTTGTATTAAATATTATACTTTTGATGCTCTAAAGTCATTTATATGATTCATTATAGTTTAATTAATATTACTCATTATTAATTATACCATAAATTTGAGCAGCTAAAGATATTCTGGTAAGACAAAAAAATTGACAAGTAATTTTTTCATGAATATTCGTAAGTGAATATTTGAATTTTCAAAAAAACCGTTAAGCACAGGTCCGTTACGAATTAATGCAAAATAACTATTAATATGCGATGTGCATTTAGCACACAAAGTTTGAGCATAAATTTATGCTGTTTTAAATGTATTGCATTATTTTTAACACTTCACCAACTTAATTAAATTGACTTTTCTTTTTATTAACGGTTTGACGTATTTTTGCATAACATATAAATGATATTCATTGAATTTAAATTTGAAAATCCGTTATAAATACGTTACATATAGATGTGATTTGCATCTTTATGTTAAGAATCCACACGTTATGAAGTAGAAATGGTACAGATAAACACAAAATCTTTACGAGTGATTTTTAATGTACTTTACTGATGAATGCTTTAAAAAAATTAAATTTTATAAAATGAATGAAAAATTTTGAAAGTCGTTACTAATTTCCCATTGAAAACTGGTAATTTATAAACAGTTGAACGTAACGAAGTGCAACGAAGTGGAGTTCAACACACCTGTAACCTATGAACCTACTGTAATCTATAAACAGTTAAACGAAACGAAGTGCAACGAAGTGGAGTTAAACACACCTGTAACCTATGAACCTACTGTAATCTATAAACAGTTGAACGTAACGAAGTGCAACGAAGTGAAGTTCAACACACCTGTAACCTATGAACCTACTGTAATCTATAAACAGTTGAACGTAACGAAGTGCAACGAAGTGGAGTTCAACACACCTGTAACCTATGAACCTACTGTAATCTATAAACAGTTGAACGTAACGAAGTGCAACGAAGTGGAGTTCAACACACCTGTAACTTATGAACCTACTGTAATCTATAAACAGTTAAACGAAACGAAGTGCAACGAAGTGGAGTTAAACACACCTGTAACCTATGAACCTACTGTAATCTATAAACAGTTGAACGTAACGAAGTGCAACGAAGTGAAGTTCAACACACCTGTAACCTATGAACCTACTGTAATCTATAAACAGTTGAACGTAACGAAGTGCAACGAAGTGGAGTTCAACACACCTGTAACTTATGAACCTACTGTAATTTATAAACAGTTGAACGTAACGAAGTGCAACGAAGTGAAGTTCAACACACCTGTAACCTATGAACCTACTGTAATCTATAAACAGTTAAACGAAACGAAGTGCAACGAAGTGGAGTTAAACACACCTGTAACCTATGAACCTACTGTAATCTATAAACAGTTGAACGTAACGAAGTGAAACGAAGTGGAGTTCAACACACCTGTAACCTATGAACCTACTGTAATCTATAAACAGTTGAACGTAACGAAGTGCAACGAAGTGAAGTTCAACACACCTGTAACCTATGAACCTACTGTAATCTATAAACAGTTGAACGTAACGAAGTGCAACGAAGTGGAGTTCAACACACCTGTAACCTATGAACCTACTGTAATCTATAAACAGTTGAACGTAACGAAGTGCAACGAAGTGGAGTTCAACACACCTGTAACTTATGAACCTACTGTAATCTATAAACAGTTGAACGTAACGAAGTGCAACGAAGTGGAGTTCAACACACCTGTAACCTATAAACCTACTGTAATCTATAAACAGTTGAACGAAACGAAGTGCAACGAAGTGGAGTTAAACACACATGTAACCTATAAACCTACTGTAATCTATAAACAGTTGAACGTAACGAAGTGAAACGAAGTGGAGTTCAACACACCTGTAACCTATGAACCTACTGTAATCTATAAACAGTTGAACGTAACGAAGTGAAACGAAGTGGAGTTCAACACACCTGTAACCTATGAACCTACTGTAATCTATAAACAGTTGAACGTAACGAAGTGCAACGAAGTGGAGTTCAACACACCTGTAACCTATAAACCTACTGTAATCTATAAACAGTTGAACGTAACGAAGTGGAGTTCAACACACCTGTAACCTATAAACCTACTGTAATCTATAAACAGTTGAACGTAACGAAGTGCAACGAAGTGGAGTTCAACACACCTGTAACCTATGAACCTACTGTAATCTATAAACAGTTGAACGTAACGAAGTGAAACGAAGTGGAGTTCAACACACCTGTAACCTATGAACCTACTGTAATCTATAAACAGTTGAACGTAACGAAGTGAAACGAAGTGGAGTTCAACACACCTGTAACCTATGAACCTACTGTAATCTATAAACAGTTGAACGTAACGAAGTGCAACGAAGTGAAGTTCAACACACCTGTAACCTATGAACCTACTGTAATCTATAAACAGTTGAACGTAACGAAGTGCAACGAAGTGGAGTTCAACACACCTGTAACCTATGAACCTACTGTAATCTATAAACAGTTGAACGTAACGAAGTGCAACGAAGTGGAGTTCAACACACCTGTAACTTATGAACCTACTGTAATCTATAAACAGTTGAACGTAACGAAGTGCAACGAAGTGGAGTTCAACACACCTGTAACCTATAAACCTACTGTAATCTATAAACAGTTGAACGAAACGAAGTGCAACGAAGTGGAGTTAAACACACCTGTAACCTATAAACCTACTGTAATCTATAAACAGTTGAACGTAACGAAGTGAAACGAAGTGGAGTTCAACACACCTGTAACCTATGAACCTACTGTAATCTATAAACAGTTGAACGTAACGAAGTGAAACGAAGTGGAGTTCAACACACCTGTAACCTATGAACCTACTGTAATCTATAAACAGTTGAACGTAACGAAGTGCAACGAAGTGGAGTTCAACACACCTGTAACCTATAAACCTACTGTAATCTATAAACAGTTGAACGTAACGAAGTGCAACGAAGTGGAGTTCAACACACCTGTAACCTATGAACCTACTGTAATCTATAAACAGTTGAACGTAACGAAGTGAAACGAAGTGGAGTTCAACACACCTGTAACCTATGAACCTACTGTAATCTATAAACAGTTGAACGTAACGAAGTGCAACGAAGTGGAGTTCAACACACCTGTAACCTATAAACCCCCTATAATTTTTATTTCTCTATTGCATTAGAATAAGACTAAAAAGTAGAAAATAAAATACTTTATAAAAAAAACTTTTTAAAAAAACTACGTTTTTCGCGTAGACTAAAAAGTAGAAAATAACTTTTATTCTTGGTTGTAAAGAATTTGGTTTTAAATTTTCAGATTATATTTAATAAATTTTTATATCCTAGTCAATATTGTTCACAAAGTTTCGAATAAGTGCACTTTGATCTTATCGTATAACTCAACAACTTAAAAACGTGGGCGCATTATAAGAGGAGAAATAAGTTTATGTGAAATCAATACTTTATGATAAACTTAAATTAATGCGCCCACGTTTTTAAGTTGTTAAGTTATACGATAAGATCAAAGTGCACTTATTCGAAACTTTGTGAACAATATTGACTAGGATATAAAAATTTATTAAATATAATCTGAAAATTTAAAACCAAATTCTTTACAACCAAGAATAAAAGTTATTTTCTACTTTTTAGTCTACGCGAAAAACGTAGTTTTTTTAAAAAGTTTTTTTTATAAAGTATTTTTTTCGATACAACTTCAAAAAATTAATTTTGAACACCTTCCAATGGACATTGATAACTTACAGCTTAGTAACTTACTAGACACAGACAAAGACAGTTGCTTTCATCCAAATGAATCTTTTTTTATTATTATTGGCAGTGCAGTTGCAATTATTAGCATCGGAACCAATCACATCATTTCTAAGTCGTTCAATTTGCAAAGTAATCGAACATTTCTACATAAAATATACAAATAACATCGATATTATTGATTTTGATGGAACTCATGGAGAACTGATAACTGAAATTGTCCAAAATGTTCAAAGTTTAATTACTGTGCAGCTTTATAAGGTTGAAAATCAAAACAAATGGACACAAAAACTTCAAAGACAGTCAATTTTATTTTTCAAAACTTTCGAAAGTTTAAATTCTTTCAATGATCGGGACTTGGTCAAGATTGAATACATGTATCCACTCAGGCTGCTCGTTTATTGTGTCGATCTTGCTTTAGACGGAATTTTTAAACTTAAAACGAAGCTTGTAATTCCTCCTTATTACTACTTCATCTTCATTGACAACTTTAATCAGAAAATTGAGCTTTTTACATTCGAAAATTATGAAAACTTAATTTATTGTCATGAAATTCAGCAAGGTGTTCAAATCAACGAGTTCTCAGCATCAACACTTGACTGGATCCAAAAACCAATTTTCCCAAAGAAGTACACAAACTTTCATGGATGCGAAATGAACATTGCAGTCATGGAATCTTCAGTTTTAATTATCAACAAAAATAAAAACAAGGAAGGCGAAGGTCTGATTTATGAAATTTTAAAGGAACTGGAAATACGATTGAATTTTAAAGGATATTATTATGGATGCAATCCAAGCACATGCAAACATTTTATAGATACTAAAGAGTTCCTATACAACATTGCTGACGTTGTAGCTCTTGATGGATACGCATTCCTTAATGCAAGCAAGACCCAATGGAACTTTATGATGCTTAACGTTGAATGCACGTATGTTCTTTAGTTTGTGGCTTACCTTTACGAACGGCACAAGTTGGTTAATCAATCAGAAATCCGGTACCAAGCCTGTGTGACTGTGGCATGGTGCTGGATTTGAATTGAAGCGAGCACCATGCCTCAGTCATGTCAGTTTGGTGCCAAATTTTTATTGAATTAACCGGCTTGTGCTAGTCGGGCTTATTTGTGGCCAGGTGTAATGCAATTCCCAAAACATTCCAATTGACTGCTTAAGATTTGGCATGATTCTCTGTTTTTGACTGGACGAGGTTAGAATTGTCCTGAATCTTAATACTTACCCGAGTGGACACAGCTAGTTGAAGTCCATTATTGGACAGTCATTTACCAGTCTTTTAATTTGTCAAAATTTATAAGACATACAGAACTAGACGTTAACTAGACTTTAACTAGACATATGTGCGATTCCTGTGTCCAGTTAAATGAAAGAATGCAAAATATGTAATTAGTTGTCCCTAAGTCTAGTTGCAAAGGCAAGTCTTTCCATGAATAGACAAATCAGTGGCATCTCTTAACTAGTTCTTTGTCCACTCGGGTTAGAATCGAATGTGATCTAGACTGGATATCAGTTTTTAAGATTTTGAAAATTATTGAATTTTTATCTAGTCCACAGTTCTATGTCCCACCAGGAGACCTGTACACATCATTCGAGAAAATGTTTCTGCCTTTTGATTCTGTCACATGGATATCATTAGCATCAACATTTACATCAGCAATGCTTATCATCAATATCATCAATCGTCTGCCGAAAAACATCAAGAAATATTTTTATGGAAAATCAGTTCGAGCTCCTATTTTGAACATCTTTCGAATCTTCTTTGGCATTGGACAAACTAAGTTGCCTGATAAACATTTTGGGAGAATTATTTTAATTTCTTATATTTTTTGGTGCTTAGTCATTCGAACTGTTTATCAAGGAGTATTGTTCATCCTGACAACAAAAGCAGTCACAAAGCCAGTTATTAAGAGCTTAGATGAGCTGAGGGACAGGAACTTTACACTTTACGTCCCTAATTATACAAGCTCTTTACTTGTTGATGTCTTGCGTGACTTATTTATGTAAATATTATAAAATTATTTATTGAAGGTTAATTTTTATAAATCTACTAAAACTTCAGGCTTCCAACAGAAAAAGTTTCAAAAAATGCATATCGAGAAATTTACTATCACAATTTATCAGATCCATCATTTAAAGGCACAATTATCACATGCGATTTAGAGCATGATTTAAATAGTTACATTGCCGAAACAGCACTTCCCAAAAGATTCATTCCAACACCAATCACAAAATCATCAAATGCATTTGGTTTTACTCATCCGAATTTATGGAATGAAAGGTTACAAGACATAATTGATGGACTCATTTCAGGTGGAGTCATTGATCATTGGCTAGAAGAGTTTCGGAAATCCAAATGGGTTTTGATGTCACAAAAGATTAAAAACTCTCATGTAGTTCTTAATTTGAGTCATTTGGGTTTTGGGTTTCAAATTTGGTTTATGGCAATTTATGCAGCCTTTGTTGTGTTTTTGACAGAGTATGTTGTCTTTTGGATCTTAAGGATGTCAGTCAAAAGAAAGAACAACGTTGATTTAGCAGTTAAAAAATATGAAACCCGTCTGGATGTTAAGGATTTACTAGATGGAGAGAATAAATTGGATGTTGAAGATGAACTGGATGTTAAGGATGAACTGGATGTTAAGGATGAACTCGATGTTAAGGATGAACTCGATGTTAAGGATGAACTCGATGTTAAGGATGAACTCGATGTTAAGGATGAACTGGATGTTAAGGATGAACTCGATGTTAAGGATGAACTGGATACTGTGGATGAACTGGATGTTAAGGATGAACTGAATGATAACAATAAATCACAAGAAAATCAAAAAGCATGCTGCATTGAAGTAGATTTGTGTGACTTTGAAATGTATTTTGGAGAAAAAGTTAATCATGAACCAGATGAAGAAGTTGTGGCTGTGGATGAACTGAAGAAAACTTAAGAGAATGTTAATCAAATGAAATCCAACTGATCTACGTTTGGGGCTGTCATTAATAATGTCCAGCATTTAAGATTGTCTGAAATGTTCTATTTCAGTGAGCTTAAGTGGCTCTGTGGCGGAATGGTTTAGTACTTCGGTACCTAATTATTTCAATAACGGCACTGCAATCATCTAGAAAATGCTCATCTTATCTACGTATGACATCTCAATACTGCTGAAAATGAGACTAAATAAATTAATGAAAAATCAATATTTTATTTTAAATTCAGTTCACTTCTCATTATCAATTAATTCAATCGTCTAGAAAATAAAACAAGATCGCTCGGATATCCAGTAAAAAGAACATATTTAATGAACCTCAATTAGACTTTAATTGTCATTCGTGTCTTTCTAATCAGCCTTGAACATTCAATTTAGATCAGTTTAGTTTGTAAGTCTTTTCATATTCTGTACTTATATGTGGACTAATTTCAGTGCCTCAATTTTTAAATTTTAAGTTTCTGGTTACAAGGACTTAAAAATTTTATTGATTTCACTTGAACTCACATGTTGTAAGTTCGTGCCGAGTCAAATTTTTAAAAATCTTTTAAAATACCATAAAATAATTCTGCATCATCAGCAAACTTTTTTTCCAGATGGTCACTAGAACATGACTAAATTATGTGTCGACAAAAAATAGTTCTCATATCTGATTACCGCACGTTCTACTGCATTTTCAGCAATAATTTTCTCATAGAACGACCTTGAATTTAGTTGAATTTAGAAAAAAGAAGTGAGTCATCAGAATTAAAGCATAGAAATCTGATTTTTGCTGACCACATGGGAAGTGAGTGTTTTTATGTATGGGAAGCTATTCTGATGACTAATGTGGATGAAATAGATTATATGCATGGCAAATGAATGTCCAATAAAAACACAATATTAAAATAAAAGTCAAACTTTTGATAATTTGATCGTATAACCCAAATCAGCACAACTGTAGCTCAAATTGAAAAACATCTAATTCCATGCAAATCTAATAAATTATACATTATAGCAACCGTTTATAGAAAATTGCGGGTAGCAAAGTACAAAACCTGTATTTTTTCTCTCAATTCTAATCAAAGCTACCACATGTGATCGCCAATTTAACCGCATGTTCAACACAATCATCGTCAGCACAAAGACATGCAAATTTTCTTTTATTTGCGGGTTATAAAACCACAATTTTTGTGCATCTTTCATCGATTCTTGGAAGATGTATTGTGGAATAACTTAATGTCACAGTGATGGCACTGAACAGTGCCCGAGTCATCTAGTAGTTGAGTGACGAGGGTGGGTAAAATGGAGCATTTTCCATGGGTGAAGGTTTTTTGGTTGGGTTAATGTATGCACTTGGAGTATGCAAAGGGATATTCATCAGCCTTTATAAGCGTTATGGTATGATAAGCACAAACTCAGATTATGTAAATCCTTGTATCCTACTTGACGATTTCTACTAAACAAAAATCAAATTAGTGACACCAGGCACCGGTTATTCAGTGTAAAATCTAGCAAAAAAAGAAGAACTGTCCCAAGTCCTCAACCATTGACAACAACCTCACGAAATCCCAAGAATAACATCCATAAAGCAAAAATGAACAAAATAAATCGTGGTATCACATGTCCATATATCTTTGCAAAATCAAGAACCCAAAAGAAAAGACATGCCAAAAAAAAAGTCTTAAAACAAAGAACAATAAGAACATTGAGTAAAGCAGTTTAATCATCCATAACCGGCTCATGCAACATTCTTATGAAACACCTATCGAATAACTTTCTGTTAAGTTGAAGCACATGAGAAGTCTCGTTTAAAAAAACCACACAAAAGAGACACGAAGAAGTGGAAAATAAGAAGAAAAATTTCACATAGTTAAGTCTATGAATCACCCTGTTGCCATGACTTGTTACTGCTTGTTGCAATTTTTTTTTGTGTGTTTCTTTCTTCGAATATTGATGAGAATTTTTCTTATTCTTCTTAACTGCTATTATGCTTAACATACATGGATATAACTCAACTTTTTGTGTTATATCGACGAAAAGAGTGTGAGAGGAAATTGAGGAGAGTTTTTGATGAAGCTGTGAGCAAATTAGGACTTAAATGTGTTGAGCGTATTTAATACAGTCACATATAAATTGCATTTGTGTGTGGATCTCCAAATGCATACGTGAGAATGAATTGAGTGAATGAAGAAATGCGACAACAAATAGTTCTTAATGTAGTACTAAGGGGACAAAGAGGAATTTAAAGAGTCAAGGGGGAGACTATTGGTATGTATTTTTTTAAATTAAAAATATATGTTTTGGTAATTTTGAGAACTATACTCAAGGAGAGTTGTGCAAGTAGGAATTTAGTCAGTCAAGATGATATTTCCCTCAAGTAGGGTTGAGCAAGTAGGAATTTAGTCAGTCAAGTAGATATTTTACTTAAGTAGAGTTGTGCAAGTAGAAATTTAGTCAGTCAAGATGATATTTCCCTCGAGTAGGGTTGAGCAAGTAGGAATTTAGTCAGTCAAGTAGATATTTTCCTCAAGTAAGTTTGTGCAAGTATGAACTTTACTTGAGTAGAGTTATAACAGTAGGAACTTGAATCTAGTATACTTGAATTAGAAAATACTTTGCTCAAGTAGTGTCATTCAAGTAGAACTTTAATCATAGAGAGCTAAGGACTAGTGATAATGAAGTAGAGTTATAAAAATTAAAATTTCAGTTAAAAACTTGTTTTTATTGTATTACAAAAATAAATTTAAGTATCTAACAACTACCATATAGCACCAATTTTAAATACTTTTAACGCCTTTCACAAGTAGCTCAATCAACAGCCATCAAAAGTTTTTCAAATCCTCATTCATTGTCTCCATCGAACAGTAATCATAATAACTGTAAGAAGATCAAAATATTTATAAATTTCAGTCAACAATACCAAATTCAAGATCATCGCGTGCAGCAATTGAAACTCTTTTAGACCTTTCAAGATAAGGTTTATCCACTGAAGATTCATAACTTGTCAGCATAGGAAGCTTCAAGAGTTTTTCTGGATAGTTTTTAAGCATGTAGATCCAACAGGAGATTTTCTGATCAGTTGTTGACATTTCAAGAATTTCTCGATCATACCAGGTTGGATAGTCTTCTAGCTTGTCAAGGACTTCAAACATTTGCTGATCAACTTCATAGATTTCTCCGTTGATGTAATTTCCTGTAGATTTGCATGTACACATTAAGTTGTGATACTAGATAAGAGGAAAATTTACCTGTGCCTGGCTTGTTTAATAAGAATGGAATATTATATCTTGTTGCTACAACTAATGGGAACTTTTCAGTTGTCACAGCTCTTGCTATGAATTTTGCCATTCCATTCTTAACATCTTGCATTAAAAAGTGATTCGGCTGTCCACTCTTCAACGTTCCATAAACAAAAACTCGAATTAAATTCGATGACGTTGCCATTTTATCATCCGAGACTTTCAAAGTACTCAAACTTCAACTGTTTAGTCTTTGTTGACTGATAAAAGCATCCCAAAAAAAGGTAAACAAAAGATCTAAGTTGAAGTAAAATTGCAGCTTATTAAAGAGCGCGTTTAAAAAGTTTCGCTTCAATTTGGGAAGCAAAACATTGCTGACTTGTCCACCCTTCAATATTTGCATTAGTAAAACAACAAAATATAAAATGTATTGATATCGCAAAAAAAATTGAAAAAATCTCAAAAAAAAATTTCCTACGACAAAAATGAAAAATTTTAAACCGCTTTTCATCCTCCTGATCTCACTCAAGTCTTTAACCATCGTCGTTGCATCGCCCGAACGAAGTTATTTCGAATTTAACTTAAATAAGGTGAGTCGCTGATTATTTTCACTGACGACATTTTTTTCAGGCCTTAAATTATGATTTTCTGACCTTAATTTTGGTTCCTTTGCAGGAAAAGAATGAGATTTCAATTCCTATAACATTAAATAAGGAGACAAATGTGATAGTAACGAGTAAGTTTTGGGTTTGTTGAAGATTTTGGGGACTCTTCTTGGGTTTATCAAGATTAGCATGAGTGGTGATTTAGATTTGATCTCATTTTGACCCCACGAACCTACCAAATAATCCAAATTTTAAACAATTTTGACGATTTTCTATTAAAATTTACTTCCAGTTCTTTGCGAATCAATAAACAGCACAGAAGGTTAGTTGTCTACGATAGCAAAACATTTATATTAATGTCAATTCATAACAATAAAATTCTAATCTAATCGTATTTAATTTTATTTTAGTGACACTTAAATACACATTTACGGAGAAAATATGTCATAATTTTGTAAGTATCTAACTGTGAATAATGTGATTTTTAAGCTATAACAAAGGATGGATTCATGAGTTCGTGACTGCTGGCAATCAATTATTGTTAAAACAGGAGTTGGGGGAAATCTGGGTTTTTTGTGAATATATTGAATCTTTGAAAAGGCTTTAAATAGCGTTTTGAAAGCTCAAAGGAATTGCATAATCCCACCGGCAATTTACAGTAAATCTTAATATTTTTAAAATCAACTTACAACCAATCTTTAAGTCCGTGACAAGACATTCTCATATTTTTTGAAGTTGTACCAGTATTTCAGTGTTGTCGCTGTTCCTTGGTGGACAAGTTGATTCATTTAGTGATTTTTCTATCTATATTCTTTATATAAACAATTCAGTCAAATGTTAAAAACACATACAGTACCCAAGTGGAAATGGGTATTTGCTAGTGGTTGACTGTTAAAAAAATAAATATCGTCGTGACATTCGTTTAGTTCATTGACTTTAATTTACATGCAGTACTATAGCATAGGGACAACAATGTCAAGTGTTTTGACTTACAATGATTCCAGATGGCTTTAAAAAGTCCATAAAAATGCCTCCAAGACGGTCCCATACCTTCTATAGCTCTAAGCTATACTAGTAGAATTATTTCAGAATTTTAAACCTAATTGGTGTTGGCGAATCTTGGTTCTGCTAGCTACTTGTTTTACAAAAGATATAATTCATGTTAATTTTAAATAAGCCCTAATTTTTGATTGTGAATCCACAAATCAAGAACACGTTGCAAAAACCAGAGCTCGAAGTCGACAGGGTTCGAGTTAACTCGAGTCGACTTCGAGCACTGGCAAAAACATTTTAGCTTTAATGCTCAATTTATCAAAAAAGGCACGCAATGATTTAATTTTAACAGGTCTGGAGACTCAAAACAACCAATAGCAATTTTTTCTCATAATTTTAGGAAGAAAACAAAACCCTCGATGATCCAGTAATATACGAAACAGAAAAGTACCCTTGTAATGGACCTATTAGCTTATCAAGAATCAAACTCGCACAAAATAATAGAAACTTTGAAGTCACTAAGCCAACTGTAAGTAATTATTAATGGTCGTTCACTTATGACGTCCTCTGGATGTCATTTGTGTACGGACCCTTAAAGCATATCTCATTTTTGAATACTTAAACATGACACTAAACTAGGCATATTGACCTCTGATCTCCTATTAGTCTAGAGCAGTGTTGTCCAAAGTTTTTGTGCCACTGCACACTTTAGGGGTAAGCCATGGCCAAAGTCGCACATAGCATGCGGCTTGCATCAATACCAAAAATTTTCTATGGCACTTCGGTGTGCCTCAGCACACAGTTTGAACAACACTGGTCTAGGGTGAGGATCTGAACAAGTTTTCATCATTTTGGACATTTCCGATTAGCTTTACACACTTGGAATAAACCTAAATCCATTTGTTAATCAATTCCTCAACTTACAGAACGATAAATCAATATTAACAGTACCAAAGGATGGAATTTACATTTTCCAGCTTCAAATGGATTCTCCTCCATACACTAAGTTTAATGCCAACACAGTTATCAAATTCATAGGTCCACATGGCATGTTAACAGCAAAAGACTTGCCACTGCTGCATGTAAGTTTGAGTTTTCATTTCTAGGGCTACCCTTACCTCTCTTACCAAAGCCTGGGTACCAAACCCAAGTAATCAACAGATTTTTTGACTAAAATCTAATTTTTTTCTAGTTCTATGCCTTCATGTGCTTGTATTATTCACTTCTTGCCATATTTTGGACAATAGTCTCTTCAGTATTCTGGCGACAATTGTTACGCATTCAATTTTGGGTCGGTGCTGTTATCCTTCTCGGCATGCTTGAGAAGGCTATGTTCTACTTTGAATATCATCAAGCTAATAGCATTGGATACTCGTCGATGCCATTGGCATTGAGTGCTGAGCTGGTGAGTTATTGCAGACCTTAAAAATTTAGATTTTCTTTTAATAATTTTATAAATTCCTAGATATCCTGTGTCAAGCGCACACTAAGTCGAGTCCTCGTCCTGTACATTTCTATGGGCTTTGGAATAATCAAAGCACGCATCGGTGATGAGTCAGTTGTAAGAATATCAGTCATGTCCTCGCTTTATTTCACAATGGCTTCAATTGAGAGCTACTTAAGACTAGCACAAACTGAAAGTCGTAGTGAGAATCGACAGTTGGTCCTTGCAGCCGTACCACTTGCATTAATAGATTCATTGATCTGTTACTGGATCTTTACATCACTTATTCAAACAATTAGGGCACTCAGACTGCGACGAAATACAGTCAAGCTTCAATTTTACATTCATTTCAAGAATGTCCTCATTTTTGGTGTCACAATGTCAATTGCCTTCATGATTTATTCCATCAAGATTCACAAAGAGACTGAATGTGCTTGGAAGGATTTGTGGATTGACATTTCATTCTGGCATGTCCTGTTCTCAATTTTATTGACTGTCATTGCCTTCCTTTGGCGTCCAACTAAGAATAATCAACAATATGCATTCGCACCGCTTTTGAATGACAATGACGATGATGATGATGAAGAGGAAGTTCATTTCTCAGCAGATACACATGAGACACTTAGTAAAGTGAGGACGAGTAGTAAGTCACATGCTCAACATGATAAAAATCTTGAACAAGAGGACAGCATGATGAAATGGGTTGAGGAGAATATCGCTAATAGTTCCATACTTCTTGATTCCGATGACGAATTAATGAACACTAAGTTTGAAGTATCAAAGATGCAATGAGTTTATATTTATTTACTTTTTAAATTCCTTTTTATTTTTTATGTATAAATTCATAGACATTTTAAATTAAATAAATCAAAATGAAAAAAAGATTAAAATAAAAAAATTAAATCGAAAAAGTTTCGTCCTGGAATTCATGAGATTTTTTTTTCAGAAATGATTCATTTTCAGCTGCGTTTCTATCTTTCAAGTTTTGAAATATTCTAAGCCAGGGACGTAGAAAAAAGAGACAAGAGATTAAAAAGGGTCTTATCCCCAATGTACTCCGCAAACACGTGTCAAGTGGACTCATAACGGTTTTTGCAATCTTTGTTGTCATATTTTGCTTAAGCTTCCTTCCCTAAGATTGTCAGGAACTCTATCCTTGTTTTTATTTCTCATGCTCTTTATTGGATTTTGTCTTATTTTTGAACTTGCTACAAAAATAAATCATTCAAATTGATGACTCCTGAAATCAGAAAAGCCACCACCAAACACAATTCAGGAATTATTTGATCGGAACTACACAATACTGTCATATGCAAATAGACATCATATCCGACCATCATGATTAACAGCATTCCACTTAAACAAAAGCTTGGATTTTCCCTCAGGCAATTAACCAATTAATCGCAATCTTATCAAGAAGTCAAAAATAAATGCCCAATATCGAACCTTATCAGTCAATAAAATGTCTTAACAGAAGTTCTACTACAAGTCATAATCTTTGACTTATCATATTTGGGGGGTCTTTCATTATTTTGACGATATTTAAAGTCATTGATAAATTTAAAATTAGACATTTGTTAATAAAAGTGAATGTCTTTCCCTTTCAGCGCTCAGTTCCTGTTGAATTTTTAAATAGTGAATTATGAAATTATTCTTGTTGACAGTTTTTGTTGCTCTCTTTGCTGGAGGTAAGTGCCTTACTAGAGCTTAATAATTATTGTGAATTTATTTTCAATTCCTCCACTTAGCTTACTCAACTCCAATTGAGTACAATGCACCACGTTTCGGTATTGCACCTGATGAAGATGGACGCATGCATGTCTTTGACATGAACGCAGCTGAAGTTGAACCAGAGCCAAGCTTTAATGCTGATACTGATGTCATTTTCCTTCTCTTCACAAGACGTAACCGCAGTGCTGGACAAAGAATCACATTCGACATGAATACAGTCAGAAACTCAAACTGGGTAGCTGCCAATGGTGCACGATTCATCATCCACGGATGGAACAGCAACCAAAATACAGCCCTAAATACTTTCATCAGAAATAGCTTCCTGGACAGAGCTGATCACAATGTTGTTGTTGTAGATTGGGGTGCAGGTGCACAAACACCAAATTATTTGACTGCCAGAAATCGCGTTGGTGCAACTGGTGCTGCCGTAGCAAGATTAGTCAATGCAATGAGAACTGCTGCCTTAACTGCCCCAGCTCGAGTTATTATTGTCGGTCATTCATTGGGATCACATGTTGCTGGTCATGCTGGTAAATTAATCACTGGTCCACAAGTCGCTGCTATCTACGGAACTGATCCTGCTGGTGAGTTAAATTTTTGAAATTATTTTTTAATTTTGATTAATTTTTTGTGTTGCTGCTAGGTCCACTATTCAATGTCAACAGCCCAGCAGATCGATTACATTCAACTGATGCCGTCTACACTGAAGCTTTGCATACAAATGCTGGAACTTTAGGATTTGATGAGCCAATCACACACGCTTCTTTCTATCCAAATTGGGGTTCAACTCAACCAGGTTTGTATTTTACATCTAGCCTTATTTCCTTTTGAAAATTTATTTAATTCATTTATTTCTGAAGGCTGTGGAATTGATGCCACTGGTGCCTGCGCTCACGAAAGATCCAACTTATTCTACTCAGAATCAGTCAACAGCAACAGATTCGTCGCAAGACAATGTACAGGATATGCACAAATTACATCTCGTAACTGCCCAGGAACTGGAACCACTGGTGTTATGGGAGGCGATGCTGGCAAATCTCTTCGTGGTGTCTTCTTTTTGGAAACTAACTCAGCATCTCCATTCGCTAGAGGTTAAATGTTGATTAGAGGATTTATGTTGATTTGAATAAATGTTGAGTATTGGGATAATGGAAAAGATTGTTGTGTTCTTATTACTAGCTTCATTACAATGAATTTTACACATTAGATGAGAACTTAGCTAAGCAGATTATATCTTGAAGACAACAGAGCAAATCTAGGCCATATATACTTGATATACCTCAGCAAACGACAGTTCATTGAGAATCACTATGCTTAATTTCCATTAAATCTAATGCCACTAATCTCTTCCAATCTTCAATGAACAGCATTGTCATTCTCATCATTCTATCCATAATCAAGTCCCACAACAATCAATAAAGTTCTAAATTCTCAAATAAAAGGCAAACCTCTCAGCTGTTATCTAATCAACAAGTCAAAAATAATTTTTCTCAAACATCATCAGCTCAACAGCACAATACATTCGCATTTCCAGTAGCTTTATAGTTTATAATCTGTCACTTATCAAGCCTATGGTCTCTTAATTTGTTTCTTTTGTGACGTTTCATTGCGATTGCCGATAATTAAGTTCATTCATATCACATAAAATTTTTCAATAAAGTTGAGTGCTAAGCATCGATAGGTTTTAGTTCCTTTCGAGTTGTTGAATAGTGAAAAATGAAATATTTCTTGTTGACAGTTTTTGTAGCTCTCTTTGCTGGAGGTAAAAGACTTACTAGTGCTTAATAATTATGGTGAATTTATTTTCAATTCCTCCACTTAGCTTACTCAACTCCAATTGAGTATAATGCACCACGTTTTGGTATTGCACCTGATGAAGATGGACGCATGCATGTCTTTGACATGAACGCAGCTGAAGTTGAACCAGAGCCAAGTTTTAATGCTGACACTGATGTCATTTTCCTTCTCTTCACAAGACGTAACCGCAATGCTGGACAAAGAATCACATTCGACATGAATACAGTCAGAAACTCAAACTGGATTGCTGGCAATGGTGCACGATTCATCATCCACGGATGGAACAGTAACCAAAATACAGGAATGAACACTTTCATCCGAAACAGTCTTCTCGACAGAGCTGATCACAATGTTGTTGTTGTAGATTGGGGTGCAGGAGCACAAACACCAAATTACTTAACTGCCAGAAATCGCGTCGGTGCTGTTGGTGCTGCTGTAGCTAGATTAGTCAATGCAATGAGAACTGCTGCTTTAACTGCCCCAGCTCGTGTCATCATTATTGGTCACTCATTGGGAGGTCATGTATCTGGACATGCTGGTAAATTGATCACTGGTCCACAAGTTGCTGCTATCTATGCCACCGACCCAGCTGGTAAGTAAGGGTTTTTTCTAAAATTGTAAAATTATTAAATTTCAATTTTATGTTTTGATCAGGTCCACTATTCAACATCAACACTCCAACTGATCGTCTTCACTCAACTGATGCCGTCTATACAGAAGCATTACACACAAATGCTGGAGTTTTAGGTTTCGATCAACCAATCACACATGCTTCATTCTATCCAAATTGGGGTACAACTCAACCTGGTAAGCATTTTTGATTATTTTTGGAAGAAGAACTAGATTGATTTATAGCTTGGGAAATTGATTTTTTTGACCTTCATCTTATCACGTGCTGCTTATAAGCCAGCTGAGGTTATCAAATTAATTGATTGTTTTCTATGAAATTTTTAGCAAAAAATTTGATAATTAATGACGTATCTTTAGATTAAAGCTAGTCGAATGATTTAAGACGTAGTTAGAAATAAAAATTATAATCAGGCTGTAAAAAGAGTCAGAGGGGATGACTAGGTTCCCAAAAGTTTTGTACCAAACAAACGTCAATCTATAATCTTTGTCTTCACCATTTTTATCTAGTTTTTAAGGTCAAATAACAACATATTATTATTGACTGTTAATTTTTATCATAGGATGCGGAACTGATGCCACCGGTGCCTGCGCTCACGAAAGATCCAACTTATTCTACTCAGAATCAGTCAACAGCAACAGATTTGTTTCAAGACAATGTACTGGATATGCACAAATCACATCACGTAACTGTCCAGGAACTGGAACCACTGCTTCTATGGGAGGCGATGCTGGCAAGTCTCTTCGTGGTGTCTTCTTCTTGGAAACCAATGCTGCTTCTCCATTCGCTAGAGGTTAAATTTGTGAAAATTTTATTTTTTTGATTGAATAAATTTGAAAAATTGAATTTTCAAGCTTTTTATTACAATTATGTTCCAGCTTTTGATATGTTCTAAGAAGTTCAAATTTCAATCTGTTCCAAATTTTACAATAATCCATTTTCATACCAGTTTCAATCCTGTTCTATTTTATTTGATAAGCAAACATTTAACAAACAATTTTCACACAAAATTCCACAAAAAAAGTGACTTTTCCAACTTTTATCCACTTCCATCCAGCATCTAGCTTAGATTTGTCATTTTGCCAAAATTCTCCATCTAAGTCAGTGTGGCCGAGCGGTCCAAGGCGTTAGACTCAAGTGCAAACTTCCAATTAGTAACTTCTGTTATATGAAAATTGGTTCTGAGTATTCTAATCCTCTTCTGAGGGCGTGGGTTCAAATCCCACCGCTGACAGCTCTTTTTTTAATTTTTTGAGTTTTATAGATTATTGATATTATTTATTGGTGGGTATTTTACTCAATTTAAGTAATAATTGAATCCTTTTTAACTTCACAGTTTGGAAGTTCAAAAAAGTACAAATTAATATTTTGATCCTTTAATATCTCTAAAATCTTATAGTAAGCATCACAAGTTCTATTTAATTTTTCATGAAAAACTTCAGTTAATTTTGGGTAAAATTGTTTTAAATCTTCATATCCAAAATCAAACCTATCAACACTAATTTGAGTTATGGCGTTTCTGGGAAATGAAGAAAATAAATTCGGCTGGTAATAATATATTGGATTATTCATGGCTGAAATGACTTTTAAGTTTGTCAGTTTTTGAAATGTGTTGAGCTTAAAAAATCGAATCTTATTTCCATTGATGTAAAGCTGTTCCAATGTAGCTATTGATGATATGCACATCAGTTGCGTAAGTAAATTGTCATTTAAATTTAGTGTAAATAAATCGATTAAAACATCGCACTTTACATCCTTTATTAAGTTCATCGATGCATCAATTGACTTCGTCCCGGAATGTATGAAAAGTGTCTTGATCTGATTTTTAGATGCATCCACAACCGGAAGTTTACAAGTTGGAAATAGTCCACTTACTTGATTCTCACTGACACTCAATTCTGATAATTGACTTTTTACAATTTTGTCACATTTTATGCTTTTTATGGAATTAGCAATGACATGAATTATGTCGACTGTTTTAAAACCATTCAAAAGCTTCTGAAACATTTGATCGTCGATGCTGCAGCGATTACAGGTTAAGCTGCTTACACCTTGAATTTGTTGAATTGCAGCTTCCAACTCATTTGTCATGCTTACATTAAGAAGTCCAATGTGTGTTACATCCTTTAGTCCAGCGAATGCTTCATTTGAAACTTCTTCAATCTTGACAGCTTCAAAGTTCAAAATTTTCAGCTTTTTAAAGCTTTTGAGTCCATTTTCAAGCAGCAAAACTGTTGAATTTTTAATACAAAGTTGTTTGACTTTATCTTGGTCTGAATCATTTCTTGGAACCATCGTTAATGTTGAATTGATGATAGTCAGGTCTGTTGGTGTAGTTTGATCCAAAAACTGATTACTTTTAATGCTGACAAAGTTTTTCAAGCTTAATTTGCCATTTTTGGAACGATTAAATGACATTTCAAGTTGTGATGTTGAATTTTGAAGCTGAATGCCATCAATGATGCACTCATTGGCATCTAAACTCTGTTCACATGCAAGTTCTAAGACAGTAGCGGAGGTAAGCTTGAAGCTTAAGAGTATTGATGCCAATACTACAGTTTTGAACATTTTCTTAAGGTTTTGCTTTTTTAATGGCTGTTTGTGCCTCGATGTTGTCCTTTTATAGTTTTTGTTTGAAAGGTTTTCTTTGACAATGACTTATGCACAGTCAGGAATGTATTAAGGATTGACTTCTTGATTGTTTTCTAATTTGTTATTTAATGTTTTCAAAGAATTGGTGCTGAAAATGATCACAACTAATTAGGCACGTAGCCATGAGGTTCTTGTCCCTCCCATTAAACATTTTGACCCCCAACAAACGCACGGCTCAAAACGTTTAGGAGGGGGGAGCCTGGCTACGTGCCTGAAATCAATCAAAAATCCCATCATCATTAATGAAAGTCCGGATTGAAACTTAATTTTTCTAATGACATTTAAATGTCATTTGTAATTGATTTCAATTATTTTAATTCCTGATTATTTCAATTATACTTATTAAGGTTGTTTCGTTCAGTTACAACCCACTCCTACATCTTGAGACATTTTCTTCTTGGTAAGTAATTGACAATAAATTGCTTTTGATTATTACAAAATTAATCTACAAAACTCAAAGCTTATTTAATGATTGTTCAATCAAAACACGTAAAGGACATGATGAACTTACTCATTTTATGTCTCCTTTTGAAGTTTTCTTTAACGGCATCTCAAAATGTTCAGGAACTAACTTGTGAAGAAGGAACGATTAGATCAGTTTGCATCATTGATGGCTCAAAGCTAGACAGTATGACTCAGCAGCTTAAAATCTCCAATAATTCATCAAAACACTTTCAACTTCACCTGAAAAACTTTAGACAACTTCAAAGTGATCTTATTGTTGTGAATAATAATGTTCGTGATTTATTTGTGGTTAATTCTACAATACTTTTGGTCAACAGAACTGATTTTGTAGATTTAACTGTCCAACACATTTTCATCATTAACTCAACAGCTTCATTTGATGCTGGCAGTCTGAGCAGCTTCAAAAGTTTGATAAACTTTAATTTGATAAACTCAAAAATCAGTAAAATCAATCCATGTGCATTTGAGGAACTGCCAAATGTCACGAAAATTGACCTTACAAATACTTCATTGTCTGATGATTTGGTGACTGCTGTTGAGGCTCTCGAGAACATAAAGAAGCTAGTATGTACGAATTGCAAGCTAAATGATGAACAATTGATGAAGATCGTTAAAAGTCATGGACAATTGGATACAATCTTACTTCCGTCAAATGCTGTGAAATCACTAAAATGTGACAAAATCAAGAACTTGAAGCTGTCTGAACTGGACCTAAGTTGTAACAATCTTTCAAAAACCTTTCAAACCTGCAAAATTGTTTCTGTGGATGTGACAGAAAATAAGATCGACACTCTTCACATCCAATACGGTACGAAGACAATTGAAGCTGCAAAAAACTTGATTTCAAAGATAAAATGCGAATATTCACTCAACACAGTCGAAATCAATTTGAATAAAAATTTGCTGACCGACTTGATGTGCATCTCGTCAATATCAACATTGGAGTATCTTTCAATAAATTCAAATAAGTTTAAGAACTTTAAGCTTTATGCATTTGAACAGATGACTAGATTGCGATACATTTCGGCAATGGACAATCCAATTTATCTTTCTAAACCAAATCTTTTTGCTCCCGAGTCGAAAAGTCCTTTGGAAAGGATTAATGTTGACAAATTTGACTTTGGATATGAAAAGTTGAGATTCTTTTATCCAAAACTTGAAGAAGTTTTTCATTATCAATTTACAGGCAGTTGTGAAAAATATTTCCAAATTTTAGACATTTTGAAGGAACAAAATATAAATTTTTATGTTTTTAAGGCACCGAGTTGCTGTAGAACTACTGATTGTGTTTAATTGTTGCAATGTGATGAGCTTAAGTTGCTAGGGAGAAGAATGGTTTAGTGCCATAATTAGGGTGTCATAATTAACTTGATTCAAGATTTTTATAACCCAAAGCCTTACACTCCTTCATCTTTTTAAAAATTCATAAAAAATTGAAGAATAAAGTCACAAAAATCACTTAATACATTCATTTTGGTTCAATTTTTTATTTTCATATCTCAAAAAATCAAGGCGTGGAAACTCAGGATTAATCCAAAAAAATCCCAAAAAATCCCTGAGCCAATAAACATGTGAAATCCTGGACGCACTTGATGAATAATTTCGGGATTTCACATTTTCATGTTTGTTGGCTCAGGGATTTTTTTAGAATTTTTGGGGATTTTCCGGGTTTAATACTGAGTTTCTACGCCTTGCAAAAATTGATACATTTGAAATTTAGAATAAAGCAGAGCTCGAAGTCGATAGAGTTCGTGTCAACTCGAGTTGACTCGATTCGACTCAAAACCGAGTCGACTAAACTTTTCTCAAGTCAACTTGATTTTTTTCGAGTTGATTTCGAGCTCTGGAATAATCTTTTCAAACAGTAAGCAGAGTCCAGAACATCTTTGATCAATTCAATATTCACATAGACACTGTCCTTCTATAATGTACTTGAAACTCCAATAAAAGTTGAGTCTAAATGGTAATTTCTGCAAATAAGTACAATCAGTATAGTAATTTGGTTTAAATTTAATCTAAACCTGGTTTCCAAGATCTCGGTCTATAGTGTTTACTAGGTATAAAAAACCAGGTGCCTAATTCGAGGGTACAGTGCCCTAAGAAGTTTCAGAAACCGGCTTTTAATTCATAATTATCTCTTACCAATATCAGGGATGTAGAACTTAGCAACTTTGTTTGATTACTTTTAGTTCCACAAACTTGACTTGACCGCTTTACAAAAATTCTTACCTTTAACAACTTTACCCTTACAAAATCAACGTCTATGTTCTCATCAATCAATATCATTGCTCCAGTATAATAATAAGTTGTTTCTGGATTTGAATAACATGTAAAAATTACAACAAACTTCCCGTACTCGATGTTGTAAACAACACTATGATTTGTTGACATAAACTCATTTTCAGGCATTTCAGTGTCATTTAAATATTTGATCTTGAAAGGCACAAAAACTGGATCGCAGTAGCCGTTGTCTTCATCTTTATATCCATAATCATCAAAAAGTTCTGTATGAATCACTATTCCAAGGTTTTTGAGGACTTCAATGATTCGATAATTACATTTGATGACATTTTTAATTTCATACAACAATTCTTCAACATTTGGATGTCCAACAAAGCTTATGAAGCCTTTTTTAATTCTCCATGGCTCAAATTCAAGATCATCAAATGAATTGAATGCTTCAATTTCATTCTCACAATAAGTTTGGGGAACAAAGTTGGATTTAGTGATCTTGGTAAGCGCAAATATTGGAAATATGATGCCGAAAAGCACTTTGATGTTCATTGTAACAATGAATTTTAATTATTGACTTGGTATTGTTGAATAAAATATCATTTTATATGGACAACCTAATCAGCAACTCTAATAACACTGAACACATTTCAATTCCCAAGATGCTTTTAGTAAATGATTGATATCCATTAACACTTACTTACTTCCTTCGTTGGGGAATGCGTGGGCCCATTGCCGCTCTGAAGACAGCTCTATCCTTAGAAACCTTCTGCTAGTTCGGGATATTAAGGACTCTAGTGTCCTTTTCAAAACATACAATCCACGAGTTCTTTATTCTGTCTGCTACTGTCACTTTTCCACGATATCCATTAATAAAGGATGCAAATATTCGAACTTGATAAAATTATTAGAAGACCTGTTGACGTTCCATTTAATAAGGTCTTCAAATCCGATTTTGTAGATTAAAAGAGATCACGTGGAAGGCCAAAAAACTCATGGAAAGATGCTGACAGTGTTGCATTTGGATCGGCATTTGGCAGCTGGTAGCAAGCGATAGAGCTAGTTTTAGGGGATGACTAAAGGAAGTCATGGATCAAAATTGAACTGTACGACCAGCAAAGTAGGCAAATAAGTAACGTGCTAAGGTTAAAATAGGATGAAAAGAAGGGATAAAGAGAGAGGAATGGGATTGATAATCGATAGGTTATAAAATGAAATACGTAATAATTGAACAATACCTTAATGCATTATGTTAAAGACATTTTTAATGGAAAAAATACAGCCATGGTTGTAAATAATTTATTAAATTATTATTTCATTGAGCTAATGGAATTGTAAGTTTTTTTCTGTTGAAAGTGGGTTGTCACAGGAGGTTGACTGCTTCAAATAATTGAAAATAGGATAGGACTTGTAAAGAAGCCAGAATTATAATTTTGAAATTACGAATTGAGCGCAATTTCTTGCAATCGAAATGTAAAGAGCTTAAAGATGTAAGTTGCGGTCAAACTATGAATCATAGACTTCAGCCAGCCAACTTGGCCAAAAATTAATACTTACCTCGAAATATCAAAAATAAATATAGTTTTCAGATCATGTTAAGCATCAGTATGAGATCATGAGCTCTTCACTTACAGCCATCCAGCCAACCATCTTGCTTATCAGTTATCCATTCAAACAGCTAATAGGAACCAAACTTCTTGTCTGGATGCGCCTCTGGATAAAAATTACAAATCTACAAATGAGTCCATTAACAACGTCATTCCTGTGAGAGCTCATACTTCGAAAAAGATATGCAATTAAAATATTAATTTTACATATTCAGTTGCTTTTCCACATTCAATTGAATCGAACGTAAAGCCTTAAAGACCACGAAAATGATTAAGTTTGTCGTCATGCTTTTAAATTTGAAATCAATAACATCTTCAAATATTCAAGAAGTCAAATGTTTGATGGATTTGAACGAATGTTTCATCGATGGAAGCTTTTTAGGAAATTCAACAGCATTACTGAACATTACAGGACCTAAAGTGAATTACTATGAACTTCATTTGAGTAATTTTGAGTATCTACAAACCAGCCAATTTGCTGAATCAATTAAAGCGACGGAATTGAAAATTGAAAATTCAATTATTGACATTAATAGTAATTTGGAACGAATAGACAATAAAGTTAGAAGCATCAACATCAAAAACTGTTCATTAAGCATCTACAGTTTAAAAAATTTCAAAAGTTTACAAGATTTGAAAATGAAAAAGGTAAAAATTAATAAAATAAGTCCGACGGCATTTGCTGGATTGAATAATATTTCATATTTTGAACTTAATGATGCTAAATTGACACTTGGCTTGATATTATCCCTAAAACATCTGGAATCTGTCAGCATCTTTTCATTTACAAAATGTGGAATCACCAACAAAATTTTTTCGGAAGTCCTACAAAACCTCAAGTCACCAGAATCCTTATCATTTACATTAAATTCCATAAAATCCATCAAATGCGATGAAGTATCAAGACTTGAAATGTTTTCATTGTCGATAAATTCAAATCAACTTTTTGGAATTTTTCCAACCTGCGGAGTTCCTGTCGTTGATGTGTCGGAAAATAAAATTGACACGCTTTTCATTCAGTCTGGAACGACAACAGTCAATGCATCCATGAATGTTATCTCAGATATCAGATGTGATAAGTTTGTGAATCTTTTGTTTCTTAATGTTGCTGGAAATTTGCTTAGCGATTTGATGTGTGTTGCTGGAATTTCTACTCTGGAGGATCTCAACATTAACTCGAATAAGTTCAAAGTTTTTGGATCTCTTAGCTTTAATAAAATGACAAGCTTGAAGGCTATATCAATTTTGGACAATCCAATAAAATTTATATCACCAAGTTTATTCGCATCTGTTACGGAAAGTCTCATCATGAAGATATCTGTCGATAGATTTGATGCTGGATATGACAAGCTTACTACTTTTTATCCACATTTGTATGAAGTGACTCATAACGAGATAAATGGAACTTGTGATGACTACGACAAGGTTGTGGAAGCTTTGAAGTCACAAAATATAAGCTTGTTCCTTCTTAAATCCTCAGCATGCATTAAAAAGGTGCCATAATGTAAATCATCAAGAAACTAGATGAGCCTTAATCACTTTATTAGCAAAATATTTGAAAAATTACAATTAATAAAAAAAGTGTCACACTTTATCAGGATTAACCCCAAAAATCTTTTACATTAATCGATATTTTGCAGATTTAAGAATTGGGAATTTATCTCCAGTACAAGTTCCTCTGAAGTCATCATAAGTCAAGTCCATGATGGATACACCACCTAAATTCTTACCACGAACATAAGCAGCTTTATTTCCAGCGGAATCAGGATCCTCATAAGCCATCCACAATCCAAACTTTCCATCCTTGTCAGGCAAACGGAAGCCATAAGGTGTGAATCTTTTTGATGGATCGCCAACTTTACGAACTGGTCCGCGTTCACCTTTCAAGTCCTTATTTTGTGGATTAGTAAGCATACCGCAAACTTCCTTGTAGCTGAACAAACCTTCTTGTTTACTTTCAATGCCTTCATCAGTTGGACCATCAGCTTTTAAAGGTGGAACTCCAGTTGAAGTTGCGCCATCTTCAATTTTCCATGCACGAGCAAATGTTGGAATTCCAACAACAATCTTACTTGTTGGTACGCCACGAGCAAGCAAGTCAGTAACTTGGAAATCAATATTTAATTCTGGATTTCTTTCGCTTGGCTTGTATAATGGTGCTGCATAATCAGCCTCTTCTTTATTTCTAAGTGGTGTTTGGACATCAAAAGCTGCAATGTTGACCCAATCGATATTGTTTATGATTTGTGGGACATCAAGGTAGAGTGACGAGTTGACATTAGGGTTGAGAGTGAATGACAAAAGATAGCCATCATGACGAAATGAGTTTTTAAGTTCCCGAATTAGAGATGTGAATTCTTCACGATGTTCTTCAAATTTGGCATCGACTGGCTTGCCAGCAGCTCCAACGGCTTTTTTGATGGAGTAGAAGAAGGAACCTGGAATGGATTAATTATGAAATTAGGATATTTTAATGATCAGTCATTATTTGATAGCAATAAGATCAAAATCAAATCTATATTAGGCGAATCTATGGATAGTCTTAAACTGACTCAAGTTTTTATACCCAAATACAGCATAAGACAGACATACAGACAAAATCAAGTCAAATTAAGCAAAATTTAGGTCTGCTAAACACTCAAACGGTTTTACTGGACTAGATTCATGTTGTTGTGGACAACAAGGCATAAGCAGGTTCAGTGTAAGTGAATTGGACTCTAGCTTTGCTGTATATGTGAGCATCTCAACATATCTAATCCCAAGCAAACATAAAACAATCATATCCCTCACATAGAGCATATCCAACACATGATTAATCTCCTTACTTACCAACAGATCCTCTTTGCTTCTTAACCTTGATCTTTGGGAACTCAAAAGCCAAATCAATTCCATCAAATGCATAAGTCTTAATTAAGTCATAAGCACTGTTAATAAATGCAATTCTAGCTGTTGATGTTTCCAACATTTGCAACCATTTTTCAGGATCTCCAGAAACGTCATAACCAATGCCAAGTAAAACCTTCAATTTTGGAAACTTTGATCGAAGGAAAGTAGCTTCACGGTACAAGCGATTGCCATGATCTAAGTCACGAAGTGGATTCAATGATACGACACGCTTTTGTTCATTGATTGAGGCAAATCCGATGACTAAATGAGTACATTGTCCTAGTCCTGGTTCAATGTCAGCGAGAGTAACCTTGCCAAGACCTTAAAAATTGAAAGAATGAAATATTGATGAATAGAGTTAATAAAATAAAGATTTAAGGTGTGAATGCTTTAGAATAGTAAGAGGATCTAGTAATGAGGTGTGATAAATTGGAGTAGGAACAATCGATTGTTGGTAAGGTAGCTCTTTGATGTCAACAATAGGTCTAGTTTTTGTAGAAATCTGCCAGTTTGTAGTTTCTAGTTTATATCATAATACTGAATTCAGGATTTATTTTAAGGCAGGTCTGATTTTACAAACCACTGACCAGTTACATAGAGTAATGGAATGTCTTAACCATCTTGGACCAAGGAATATAGCTACATGACCCCCAATCAGCTTAAATTGAAACTGAATTAAATTTCATACTTTAAATGACATCATCAAGTAAACTGCAAATTTATTAAATTTATAAAGCAATTTTCGACTTGATAAATAAAATTTTTCATATACAAATTTATTAATGACTCATGAGCGAAATTCTCTACTCTCTCACTGCCACCTCAATACTCTTTATAAATTCATACAAATAAATTTTTATTAATCAACAAAAACTTCTTCTTATTTGAATAACATTTTAACCTTTGTCTCAAGCTAATCATTCACATACTTTAAAATTTATTTCTTTAGAATAGACAACTTATTGAGTGTAAACACGCGTAGATGCTTTAAGTATGTGCTTTGAATGTATGACACAAGTGTCATTAAAACATCTCGCAATTTGTAGTATTTGCATACTGAGACAATGGAATTGGAAGGTGATCAACTAAGTTTAATGAGATTTAAGTGTGAAAAAATTATTTTTTGCGGTCGTTATTCTTTTATGGACTGGCAGAGGTGGAAGACCTCAAAGATAATTTGGAATTATAATCTTAAATGTTCAACCAAATTTTTGGATTCAAATGTTAAAGTTGAGAATTTTTAAGGTTTCTTGACTAAAACTTCGCCCAAAATTTAATTCCATCACCAAAGTTCCTACGTGTTTGAAATCGAAGCTCTAATCTTCTACAACACTCAATTCTCTAGCAACATCTCACATCATTATCAATACATAAGCTCAATCTTTATCAACAGCCCTTAAAGTTCACTAAACTTCACACAATCTACACAAGAACTTATCAAAAATTCTCCTTACCTTCCCTAACAAATGCACGACTGTCGTAATAACAAACAACTTTTGAATCATTTTCTGCTGTCTCGGTGATTTGAGAAGCACCGATAAGAAGGCAGCTGACTACAGCGATCTTCCACCACATCTTGATTTGTCAAACGTTGAGAATCAACTGAAATTGTCATTGGAAATGAGATGTGAATTTAATTTATTTTTTTGATAATTATTTGAGAGGAAATAAGAAAAATTATTTTTGAGTAAATTTTGTGTGAGAATTTATTAATGTTTTGAGGAGTAAGATAAAATGAGAGTATAGGGGAGAGATAGATAATAAAGAGGATAGAGCACAAATTTGGATGAAGAGAAAAACGGATGAAAGGAATCATTCTTTCGTTGCTCTTCGTGATAAAGATTAGGTTGCCATTGAATATTTAAGGGGGGAAGGTCAGGTCTCCACTCTATCGTACAATTTTCATTAGTAGCACACCGTTTAGAATGTTGAGCATAGTCAATTGAATGATTTTTAAGTCGTTGCTCTAGTTCATGTGTACAAATATGAGGTAGAGTTGCTAATGAACTGAATACTATTGTCTACTAGGATAGTGGAAAATTACGGGCAGCATTTAAAACCACCTTGAAATAAAGCTTTCGATTTGGATCATTTGAGTTTATTTGAAGATTACAATAAACAAACAAATCGCCATTTTGGGTTCCGCCATTTTGAAAATTTGTATCAAATTTGGCGTGGCTTAGAGTGGACTGACAGAATGACATATAAAGGCTTTTATACTATTTATGCATACATATTGCAAACAGACTGTAAAAGTAACAAGATCAAAATTTGAACCAGTGGCTGATTTCTAGGACTCCTTAAACCCTAAACCCAGTCGATTTTGATCAAAGCGTGGAAACTATCCCAAATATCCCATTTATCCCATATATCCCAAAAATATTCAAAATAATCCCTGAGCCTGTATGAATTAGAATTGAGATATCCCATCATATCCTGAAATTGCACGTCCAATACACTAAGGATACGTTGGGATATCTTTATTATCGTGCATACATGCTCAGGAATTTTTTGAATATTTTGGGGATATGTGGGATAGATATGATATTTGGGATAGTTTCCACGCCTTGAATTTGATTTATATTTTAGCTTGAGTACTTCAATATATGATCCTTGTGTTAGGATACCACAAGTAGTCCTACAGACTGATCTCAGAGGACAATTTAAATCAAAATAAGAACAGAATCTCATAATATAAATTTATCTGAGTTAACAACACCTTCGTCAAGTATTTTAAAATCACAAGTGAATGACCTTTCATACAAAAACTTGCATAAACAATTTTTTGCGCTTTTCAGATTGTTTATTTACCTTCCTATTTGCATGACCACTATTACGTTTTCTGTTTTAATTTACTTTCGTTTGCTTTCCAGAGTTGGTTTGGCATAATTTTGAGGAAAAAAGATTTTACAAAATTAATTTATACGTGTTGTTGCATGTGTCTGATAATAACTGAAAAAATTATTCGAGGTTGTTCATAAATTACGTCACGGAAATGAGGAGAGGGCATGGAGCTCTAAAATAATTAAGACCCCCAAAATAATATTTGTTTAATTTATTGCCACTTGTAATCCACTTCTGCTCTTAAAATACCAGTTTTTGTCATGTTTCTTATTTCTTTTTTCAATTTTTTTTTACCTTAGATATCAATTTAGCAAGAACAAGGCAAGGATTGTTCAGTATTGACGTCTATTCATTTTAAAGAACCAATAGAAAAGCTGGAAATTTTCTTAAAGAGGATGTGGTCCTTTCAATTGGACCGAGAATAATGTTTAAATTTTTTTCGTACATTTTCTAACTTAAATTGCCCAATAAGGCTCCGCTCGTGCAAAATCACCAATAATCAGTCGTTAGACAAACTCTAGCATGTTGTGACCACATGTTCGACGTCATTATCAAATAATCCCCAACATCTTTTTAAAGAAAACGTTAATCTGAATTTATAAATTAGAATGTAACATTCAGAATTTTTTTCAGTCTTAATTCGGGTTTGAAACAGCTATGACATTAGTAGCAATAAAGTGCAAGAAATTAAAATGTTAAAGATTTTTTTTATTGTGATATTGAATGGATTTGTATTTTCGTCAACTGATGTTTGTAAGTTGAATGAAATAACAACATATGGAATTGTTGGAAATGTGCAAAAATGTTTGTGAACTTGATGGACTAAAAAGCAAATTTTAAAAAAATGTTAATTAATAGTGGGTCTGTTCATAAATGACGTACATTAAGTAATGAGATTCTCAAAAGCCCTGGGGTCGTTCACTTATAACAACCGATATTAACGGTCTTTTTTCAAAAAAGAAAAATGAAACTCCTGAACTTATTGTTGTTTTCTTGTTACCCGCCCCCCCCCCCCTCCCCCTGGACGTTAAAAGTCAACCCTTTGATCTTTTGTCATAAAATTTATTTGAAGAACATTAAATTTTGTTAAACAGTTATTTATGAACCTATGACATTAAATATCATTTATGAACGTCCTATTTGATAAATTAATCATTGTGACTGTTGAATAAATTATTAAACTTTAGTTGTTCAAATTTAGAAGATTCTAAGCTGCGCATTTTATTTGTGTCAAAGATAATGACAGTTTAACGAGTGGGGTTTCACCAAATCTCAAACTCAAGTTTGCAGTCTTAGTCCGTGCTTCTCAAACTATGTGCACACTAGAGTGCCGTGAAAAATTTTATTTCTAAAATTTTCCCTGTATTTTCAAGTTTTATGACTTCAAAAAAGTCATGAAAATCAATTAGTGTGACGCGAAATGTTTTTATATAAACAAATGTGCCGTGGATTTAAAGTTCGAGAAACACTGGCACTGGTCTAAGATAGTATATAAATCGTTTCTGTGGTGACATTTTTGTCTTTGACAGTAAGCAAGATTATAATAAAAGAAGAAGTTTGTGACATTCATTTTAGTTCATATGATTAGAAAAAGAAATACGCAATCAATTTCGCAAGACGAGTTGTGATCCAAGGCAAGGAAACTCAGTATTAATATCCCCTGGCCAAAAAACATAAAAAAGGGGATCAGGGATGCATCAGGGAATTAAAAAAGATTTCATATTTTCATGTTTATTGGTTCAGGGATTTTTTTAAGGTTTTCTGGGTTTTTCAGAATTAATTCTGAGTTTCCATGCCTTGGCGTGATTACTTTGTCAGCGTCTAACATATAATAAGTCGTTAAACACAAAGCAATTTTGCCATCGAGCACTTTTTCTTTAGACTAAAATTATGTGCTATAAAAAACTAACGAGAACAGAAGCTGGTTTAAAGGACTTCTTGAGATGTCAGCTTTAGTCATAGTCAAACATTAATTTCAACCAAGAGTCTTGATAACCTACCTTATAATTGCAAAATCTTTGAACTCCTTTCAATGAAACTCTAATCTTCTAAGCTTGAATATGAGTAGTGTTGAGATCCACTGAGATCCTTAGAAGCTGGCTCAAAAGGTCCCAGCTTTTCACCAAAACTTATTTATTTATATATTCCAGTGTCGTCCAAACTATTTGAGCCATGGCACGCCTGAGGGGTAAGCCATGAACGAAGACGTACACAGCATGCGGCTCGTGTCAGTTTCAAAAAATTTCTACGGCACACAGTTTGGACAACACTGATTTATTCTGTTATTAATTTAATTAAATAACATTTTTTTTTGAAACTCGAAATATCTTTTTAATTTTAGATACCAAGACGGATAAGTTAAGAACCGTACATGCTCCCAATGCAATTGACAAGAAATCAACAAAGTCACCTGAAGATCCATTAGAAAATATGCAAACGATTCTGAACCTTGAATCGTATACAATTGATAAGTGAGTATGAGGATTGAGTTTGGGAAACGATTATTTTTGATCATTATCTAAGGGTTGATAGCTTATTAATGATATTAAATGAAAGATTAAATTTTTGACTCCCTATCTATCCCCAAATGATCATTCATCCGGCATAAATCTTCTATGGTTTTAATTAAAATTATATTATTAATGTCAATCATATTTAATTTGTTTATTATTTTTTCAGTTTTGTTATGGGCGATGAAAAGGACTTTAAACTCTTATTGACTAATGTGACATTTAGTGGAGCTGCAAATTACAAAATTAAGAAAGACTGGTAAAATTATGAATTTTTTTTGACTTTATTTTGGCATGCATAATTGCTGCTTTCAAACAAAATCGGAAATTTTTGATTACATTTTAATCAAATCATTTTTTAAAATAAGGAACTAAACTTTAATTTCATTTAATAGCTTCATTTAACCATAATAACATATTTTCAGCATTGGAACTAGAAACCACACGCAAGAAGCTACAATTATAACACCACAAATCAAAATCACAAGTTCCTATATTCTTCAAGGAACAATCCAAGAAAAGACACTAACAACAACAGGACAATCGCTAATAGTTCTCAAAAATTATGTTGGACGAATCAGCTTCTCAAAAGCTATGGGATTGAGTGCCAAAATTCTGGAAGGAAAAGTTCACAGATTTAAATTGACAAATTTATTTGACGATTATAAAATTCTTCAAGTTGCAATCAATGAGAAATATTTACAAAATTCAACATACTTTATGGATAATATTAATCCAATACTTAATAAGAAAGTCAGTGAAATTTTTGTCAGAATTTTTAACAAATTGACTGTAGTTAATAAAGTTTAAGGCAAGTGTATTTTTAAGACAATTTGGAACATCAGCTTAGGTATTCAGTGTAGAGTCTTTTATTTTTTTGATTTAAATTGTTTAAAAAATGGCTAAAAATGATCGCTAAAGGATGTCCTTAATTATCCTCAAAAAAAAATCTAGTCATCCTAATTTTGAGTTATTAACTTACTTAAGCTATTATAATTATGAGTTTAAACTACATTACGCCTTTATTGTAGGCAAGAAGTGAGCAATAAGTAAGCTTTTACTATTTAAGCTGTGCTTAGTGAGCTAAAGTGGCTCAGTGGCGGAATGGTTAAGTACTTTGGTACTTAATTATTGCAATACCGACACATCGATCATGGGTTTTAGAGTGGGTATGGGAAATTTTTCACTTGTCCTTTTACGAATCATATGTACTGGAAATGAGGCTCACAGCCATCTTTTGTAGGCAACAGACAGAAATGTCATCAGAGGAGTGGTTTGGATCCCACTATGAATTGTAGCAGTGGTTTTGCGCATCCTGACTCGTTAAACTCTCATTAGCTGGGAATCGTTCAAGCGCACCTTTGGATCACAATTAATCTGATTAGGTAAAGGTAGGGTGACCATCTGCGTAGTTTTACAACGGACAGTCCTGTATTTCAAAACCCTGTCCTGTATAAATTTGAAAATTTTGTTCACGGTCCTGTATTTTTTTCACGAAAATTTCCGTTAATTTTCAAATTTTTCTCTGTGTCCTGTATTTTTCGAAAAAATGTATCAAATGTTCTGTATTTTCATAAAAATTAGATGGTCACCCTAGGTAAAGGTTCACTTAGTGAAATCAAGGGATTTATTTTAAGAACCAATCTTATGCTGTTCCAATTGGATGTGTTAAAAAGGACGCTAGAGTCCTTAATATCCAAAACTGGCAGAAGGTTTCTCAGGATAGAACTGTCTTCAGACGATCTTTAAGCACTGCAATCGGCCCACATGCGCCTTAACCAAGGAAGTAAGTAAAGCAACTGTTCCGATTCCACGACGTTGTATTTAACATTATATTTATTGGAGTGCTTTAAAAGCTCAATGAAACAAAAAAATTCTTGAAAATGAAACAAAAAAGCTCAAAATGTAAACAACCGGCAAACTTGATAAAACTAATCGTATTTCCCGAGTTCATTAACTTTTCATCCACAGCTGATTGATTTCAAATAAAAAAAAATTCTTTGACATTCAAAAAAATATTAAAATTTTCTGTGTTTATTTTTATCAAAAATGAATTTTTAGGTATTTTTATTAAAACTCATTATTTATATTATTAAAATTTTGAAGATTTAGCCACAGGTGTTTACCTAGATGCCTGGAAACACCTGCAAATGATTTTCTAACATCCAAACTAAGGCTTTTGTTATAATTTTCAAGTTACAAGAACATTTGCAGGTGTTTCCTTAGAATCGAATGCTAGTTAACCATAGAAGGGTTTTGCTTTTTGGACTTGCAACAGGGTTGGGGCTGGGAACATCAAGGGAGAGAATCGGAAAGGAGTTAAATATTTTATTGGGCTAAGGCCTTGTTTCTAGGGCTACACGAGGTATGTAAGCCAAAAATTAATTTCAATGCAATAATAATAATGTACTTCAATATTTGACATAAATAAAGTTGATTTGAGACTAAGGTATGGTACCCCGAGTAGCACTAGAAAATGGCCCCAGTTCAGTATATATAACAAAATTTTTTAATTTCAATGGCTTGAAAAAGGTTTTTAAATGTTGGTATTTTGGTGTCAGCGTTATTGACTGATGTGAGTGTCGTTTTTGATTTAATGTCAATCCCCTTCCTAGCTTAAAGTTGATAAAATATTTTTTTTACTAAGGTTCTCTTGCTTCACCTCTGCTTTGCTACATTAAAAAAAATTCTAATGTTTTACATCATATCATGCACGTGGTTGGCTGTCTGACTGTTGATATTGACATATTTTGTATTCATCTAGACCAGTGTTGTCCAAACTGTGTGCCGCGGCACACTTTTGTGAAGAAAAAATTGTTTGTAAATGACGCGAGCCGAGACTTTGGTCATGGCTTACCACCAGGGGCGTAGCCAGAAAATTTTTAAGGGGGGGGGCCCATTTTCGAAAATTGAAAAACCGTTATTTTGTATCCTTAAATCTATATTCATTCTTCATAAGTTTAAATATTTAATTCATTATTCATACATTAAATTTAATTTTTCGTGCTGATTTTGACATTTCTTTCATCACTTCCTCTACATTAACTGGTTCTTCTCTATAAACACTTAATAAAACAATTATCAGATTTTTTGTAGGGGGGCCCGGGCCCCCTATGGCCCCCCCCCTGGCTACGCCCCTGCTTACCACTAAGGTGTGCCGTGGCTCAAAAAGTTTGAACAACACTGATCTAGTCGAGTAGTGATAAAAATACCAAATCTATTTTAATCAATCCAGTTTTTTGACTTTTTCTTCTTAATCACCGATAATTATGACGATTTGATCAAAGAACATCTGTGTCCTACAGTTGAATCTTGAATATAATTTAAATAAATTTAAAAAATTCTGCAACGAAGACTTGACGAATAAATTAGATTAAAATAACTAAAAACAGAAGAACTCGTTTGATAATAATAAATGCAATAAACAAATAATTTTTTTTTGTTTTCTTGTGAAATCATCTCAATAAATATTTTTGTAAGAATTTTTTCCTATATATTTGTGGTGACTTTTGATCAGATGTTTTCAGTTTTGTGTTAAGGTTCTAACAGAGTGGATGGAATAATTATTAAGAATAAAAAAATAAAACAGCAAGATAATCAAAAAAAGAAGATAAGATTTTATGACCAAAAGTTAAAAAAAATAATAAGTTCAAAAATAAAGCAAATAGAAATGAAAGTCATAATTGGAACAATATTTATTGTGATTCTTTGTTCATCATTTAGTCATGTTAATTCAAAATTACGTAAGTATTAAGCAAGTTTGTTATATATTTTGTGTCATCAAACAACAAAGTTCTGTCAATATTTGGACCTTAGCCACCTGTTTTGAATTTAAATGAGCAAATTCGGAACTTAAAACTCTTCAACTTCTTTCATTGGCTGGTTTTTAAGACTACTCGAATTTCCTACTAATGATATCCAATAGGCTTTAATTTCATGAAGCCCTTAAAAACTGAAACATTAAACATTTGTACCTATAGCCAGTTTAAGAGCTTTGTAATGCCACCGACCACAAACATAAATATGGCAAGGCCAATATTTGATCAAATAAAGCCAAGAACGAAAGGAAAAATTTTGTTAAGCAGCTTAAATAGATCCATTTAGTTTTATTGCACATATTGCTCTTTACCATTTAAATTTCTCAAGAAATGCTCCACAAAAGTCTTTATTTTGAGTTCTTAAAAATGCAAATCAAGACTTTGATGGTTTTTTGAAAAAAAGGCGTGTGATGTGTTAAAAAATAAAAAGAAAGAAAACTTGCGGATTTGAATGCACGTGTATCATTTTTAGTCTTGAGAACTCTGCAGTTTTGCATATATGCCTTTACAGTCCATTTATACCACTGATACATTTCAGAGCTGTCACCTATCAATTTCCTATCAAAGGCAAAAATCTATCCCAGGCATTGCCTTAAGAAAAGCGTCAACATTTGCTTTTGAAAAGGAATGCCTAGCCAAAGACAATGCCTAGAAAAAAATATTTATTTTGCATTTACCTAGTCAGTGTCTATCATAGTCATGACTTTAACTAGACAAAACCTAGATTAAATTCATGTTGATGTCTTTTTTGGTTTGAAAAATTCGCAAAAATTAGGCACCGACATGATTGTAATAAAGGTTTTACTTAGGCAAAGGCATGCCTAATATAGAATGATGGGCAAAAACTGAAGCCGATGTCTAGGTAGTGCCTATGACTAGTTTCTTTTTTTGACTAGGCAAACTGTTTTGCTTTTGGCCAGCCATGTCCAAACATGGACAAAGGCAAAAGCTACCATGTTCTGGTAATGTTCCTTCCCAAGGGCACCTATCTGACAAATCTGATGCATGTAATTGTGTTTTGGCAATATGATCGAAAATTTACTAAATCAGCACTTGAAATTAAAAATTTACTAATTTAAACTTGATAAAGCACTTTTAACTCTTAAATAACAATTTTTTGTCATTTTAGCATCATATGTTCAAGTTTGTAGCCGATATGACCCTCAAATTAGTGACTGCATTATTAATTCGATAAGACATCTCCAACCTTACTTAGTAAATGGAATGAAGGAATTGGATGTGCCACCAGCTGAGCCATTCTTCATTAAAAGGTTTGTATTTGAATGTAAATGAGATTCGCTTAACCCTAAACGCTAAACATAACGAATTCATTTCTTCCATAAAAATCGACTTGGTACTGTGCCAGGCCACTTTGTAACTAGTGACAATTGATCAAGTGGGATTTCATAAACCTAATGCATTTTATTCAAGAATAACAGTTTATAGTAAGGTTCAACATACTCGTTTGATTAAAGGTTCTGAGATACGTTTCCAATACATGAAAAGAATGTGCGACACATCGTTCAAGTCCATTCCCATTACTTTCACAGTTCAGAAAATATTTAAGTACCTCTTTAAGACCTTATTGGAGTGGGAACAAAATGAGGAGCAGCCAAATTAATGTTTTCGTGCATTTGTATTGACTTGATTTTAGCTATCCTAGTCTCTCATGACCCAATATTATAGGAAATCGATATTCATTTCTTTCATAATGAGCCTTAGGTAGCCTTCAAAGCTGGCTCCAGCTACAATTCACATCCGTGTTATCCATGTCTCAATATAGTCACAAGCTAGATTTTTTCAAATAATAAATTCCATAAGACAGCCTTAGATCTCAAAATCAAAAATGTGCAGTCATTTGCATGTAATTTGGTTCAACTAATTTTAATTCAGAACTTTATTGAGACCCACAAAAAAAATAAATTAATTTAACTTAATTTATGAGAAGATTAACTTTATTTCCATTTACAGTCTAGCATATGGAAACGATCGATCTGTCAAGGTCGCATTAACAAATGTTTACATCCGTGGCATAAGCGGTTTTCGTATTGAGAAGTTACGGTAGGTCAATAAATTCAAATTCTTTTAATCATTTTTATTCATTTGTATCTTTTTAATCAACAGCACAAACTTTGAGAACATAAAAATTGATGTTATTGCTTCATTTCCACGACTTGAAATCAGATCAAAATATAAATTAATTTTGAGCTTACTTGGCGCACCAATTACGAGTGATGGTGACTTATTAGCATCATTTGAGAACGCAAAGGCACGAATTGGACTAAAAGCACAAAAATATCTCAGAAATGGAGTCGAGTACATCAAGTTTGAGCCAATTCTATTAAAAATTAACATTGGAAAAGTTCAAACTCTGAAATTATCAAACTTGTTTAATGGAAATCCAGTCTTAAGTGAAGTAGTTCATGCAATCCTCGTATCCAATTCAGACTTCTTGCTAAATGACTTCTATCCACATATTGAGAAAAGTTTATCAGAATCATTTACGGATATTGCAAATAAAATCACAAAGGAGGCAACTTTTAATGAACTTTTTCCATTAAATTAAAGCATTAAGTTTTAGGTTAAGACAATTAAAGACTTTGGATAGTTATGTAAAAATTGTGATTAGGAATTTAAGTTTTGAAAATTATGTTTGAAGTTGGAGTTTTATTATTATTAGATAAAAATAAACATATTAAATTTTCGAATGATAATCTTGTTGATTTTACTTTATATTTTGTAAACAGGATAGGAGACTAGGGTAGGAGACTAGTTTAGGAGACTAGTATAGAAGACTAGTTTAGGAGATTAGTTTAAAAGACAAGAGTAGGAGACTAGGTTAGGAGACTAGGATAGGAGACTAGGATAAAAGACTAAGATAGGAGACAAGGTAAGGAGACTAGGGTAGGAGACTAGGATAGGAGACTAGGTTAGGAGACAAGAGTATGAGACTAGGTTAGGAGACTAGGATAGGAGACTAGGATAGGACTTGAATCTCTTTTTAATTGAGAATATATTGTTTATAAAATATTCACAACAAATATTTCATAATCATGATCAAAAAATAAGAAAATTTGCATACTGATTTTGATCACAAGCGCCAGGCATGCTATGCAGATCAAAAACTGGTTTTCTTGTTGATTCTTTAAGTTCAAGTTGAATTTTTATTGTTTTCAGATTCAATATTTTTGCATTTTATCCGCTAGCTTTAATAATAATAGACTTGTTTTGCATATGACAAAGACTATGTTGAAGCCAGCTTTTTTGCATAATTTTACTGCAGTCCTTGTGCAGAATTTATTGCCAAAAATTTGTATGATAATTAGGAAAAAATTGACTAGTTTTTTGGACGACTTAATTTTGTTTTTCAGTCAATTTTTATTAGTCAAATGGTAAACATCGCGAATTTTTTTAAATTTTTGATTTCTTAGAAGTAAAGTTTATCTGTAAAAAGTTTTCAATAACAATTTGTGTTGTTCAAAAATAGTCAAAAATTATAAAAATGAAATCAGTAATTTATGTGATACTTTTGTTTAGTTTTGTAAACATTTCAACAGAACAGCTTCGTAAGTAATTTTATTTTCTGCTTAATTGTCAGTTTGACTTTAATTTTGACTGTTTGGACTCTTAGGCTATGAGTGAATCAAATTTGGGTTAGAATTTTCAAAAAAGTAGTTCAGCTCTCGATACAGAATCAAAGCAAAGGTTTCAAAAGTTTGAGAACAAATCAGATTTTTTTACAATTCTGTGGTTAAGCATGTCTAAGCATGTCTAATATCTCTAAGATCGGTTTCTAAAGCTACTTAGACTTTATTTAAACTTAAACTTTATTTATGCCTCAGAGTCCAATTCATCAATTGCAGCACATGGTGATAGTAAGTCTTAAAACCAGTCCCTGGTCAGCCTTCTAATCGACTTCCTCCAAACTTTTTCAAAAATTACGCTTATAATTTATAATTACTTGTAGCACCTTCAATAAAACTTTGCAGACGAAGTGATCCAAAACTTGGTGAATGCATCATAAACTCCATCAATCATCTGAAGCCACTTCTAGCGACTGGTGATCTTGGACCGGGACTTCAAATTCCACCACAAGAGCCTTCAAAAATTGATGAGTAAGTTCAAAAACTGGCGATAAAACTGATTTAAATTGCTCATAGATAAATCGCAATGTCTAAGACAGTGTTGTCCAAACTGTGTGTCGCAATACACTAGTGTGCCGTAAATTTTTTTTTGTAATTTACACGAGCCTTATGCCGTGGCTCAAAAAGTTTGGACAACACTGGCATAAAATATCACAAACTTAGCATCTTAACATATTAAAAATATTTATTTGTGTATTTCGATTAGCATATACATAGGAGAGTCAGATGGGATACAGATTGTACTTACTAATGTGACAATCCATGGGACATCACAGTTTCATATTCAGAAGCTTCGGTAAGTTCAAGTCTGTTTTAAAAATTGAACCATAGCTAACACTAATCCACAAATCATCAATTTTTGATCATACTGTCCTTTTTAATCCTTAGTGCCAACATGCAGGACCTCAAAATGGATGCAATTCTTCTCTATCCAAAACTAGAGATGACTGGACACTTTCAATTCAGAGCAAACTTATTCGGAAGAACTGTTACAAATGACGGAGAAGTTGTCATTAAAATAATCAATTCAGTCAACAGAATTACAATAAAAATGCAAAAATTCATCAAAAATGGCAAAGAATACATTAAATTCGAAGATGTATCAATTAAAATAAAATCCAGCAAGCCATCGTCGGTTGAGCTGAAGGGAATTTTCGGAAGTAAAACATTGAATGAAATTGCTGGTGCTTTAGTGAGAGAAAATCCTTTATTTAAATCTGATAGAATGAATCCATATTTTGAAAAGAGTTTGTCACAAACAATGACTAAAGTTGCAAATCAAATTGTGTCAACAGCGACGTTTGACGAGACTTTTCCTCTGTAATTTTAGAGTTTCAAGGAATAAAAACCAATATTTTTTAAGAATTGTTGAATGTTGAGGGTTTTCTTTTAAATTAATCTGCAGCTAAGAGTGCACTATGGGGCAAAATTGAAAAAAAGGGGTAATTCACTTCGAAAATAGGACTCTTTCAATTTAGGTTCTCGGGGTATTTTTTTCTTGTAGAGGACATTAAATTAGACTTGCATGCCAAATTTCAGACCATTTTGTGCTGTTTTTGAGATTCTAGAGCTATTTGAAGTTGAAAATGAGCAAAAAAACTGGTTTTTTCATGACATATTTAAACTTAAAAATCTCTGCAATGTTTAAAGTTATTGAAAAATTGTTTTCGGTTCCTATAAGAACAATATAAAAGCTTTATTTTAATGTATTGTAAAATTTTTAACTTTCCAGTTTTGGTGCTGGTATGGTTGGAAATGTACGAAAATCCTATGAAAAATATCTATAAACGTGCCGCAACTATCTTAGCAGGTCGATTTCCAGGTAACTGAATATACAGAAATATAGCTCTTGATATACAGTTTGTAAAACTGTATAAACATTAGAAATAACAAGGTACGTTTTTGAGAAAAATTGGTTTGTGTCAGTCGTGAAATATTAAGCCAAAAACTGATTTTTCTTTTAAAAATAACAAATCATTCATAGTAGAAAAGTTTTGTAATGTTTTCTAATTGCAAATAATATTTAAAGACAACCTGCAAAGATTTTTTTTCAAAAAACTCAAAATTTGACGAGATATCGGGTACATTTGATATCTGATGACTTGTATGTTTTTTGCACCACTCAAATGACTCTAACTTTTGTTTAACTTAATATTTTTCAGTTCTGTTTCCTGTTTATTGTAGCTTAAGTCAATACCTTTCTAACAATATATAATACTTGATAGTTGCATATGACATTGATCTTGATTATTGGCATTGTTTGTGAATGACCCCAAACTAAGAAAAATCTTGAAAACGACATTTCTAGAAATACCACTTAGAAAGAAAATTGTGTATTGTTTTGAGGTTTTTTATGATGATTTATGATAATTATGACTGTTAAAACTCAAAAACATGGAATTCATAAACTTTTTGCGATCTCAGGTAGCTTGATTAAGTACGACTCTAGTAGTATCTATTGGACCAGAAAGTCTATAGTATCAGACTATTTTAAAAACTCAAATTAATGAATTCATCATATTTAAGCATATTTATAGCAAAATATTTCATTTTTAGATACTTTTGGTTGAAAAATTGTGAATTTTGGCTATTTTGTTTAAGTTCAGCTTGCGTCGGTCACATTCAATCCACTCTAGGTGCAACTATAATGAAGTTTTATACCAGTATTATACATCTTCTTAAAGGTACTGATTTAAACTAGCAATAACTAAAAACAGAATGCAAAAATATGTATCCTGAAAAAATTTAGAGCTCTTTATGTACATCAAAAAGCATACAAAAACGCAACCATCATAGGTAAAAATACAAAAATTTAAAATTTCAACGAAAATCTTACAAAAAAGTATTGAAAATGTGTTTATATGTGGTTATTATTACAAAAAAATCAAAGTTTGTCAAAAAAAACTGATAAATTTTCAATTTTTGTATTTTTACCTATGGTGGTTGCGTTTCTGTATGCTTTTTGATGTACATAAAGAGCTCTAACTTTTTTCAGGATACATATTTTTGCATTCTGTTTTCAATTATTGCTAGTTTAGATCAGTACCTTTAAGATAATGTATAATACTGGTATAAAACTTCATTATAGTTGCACCTAGAGTGGATTGAATGTGACCGACGCAAGCTGAACTTAAACAAAATAGCCAAAATTCACAATTTTTCAACCAAAAGTATCTAAAAATGAAATATTTTGCTATAAATATGCTTAAATATGATGAATTCATTAATTTGAGTTTTTAAAATAGTCTGATACTATAGACTTTCTGGTCCAATAGATACTACTAGAGTCGTACTTAATCAAGCTACCTGAGATCGCAAAAAGTTTATGAATTCCATGTTTTTGAGTTTTAACAGTCATAATTATCATAAATCATCATAAAAAACCTCAAAACAATACACAATTTTCTTTCTAAGTGGTATTTCTAGAAATGTCGTTTTCAAGATTTTTCTTAGTTTGGGGTCATTCACAAACAATGCCAATAATCAAGATCAATGTCATATGCAACTATCAAGTATTATATATTGTTAGAAAGGTATTGACTTAAGCTACAATAAACAGGAAACAGAACTGAAAAATATTAAGTTAAACAAAAGTTAGAGTCATTTGAGTGGTGCAAAAAACATACAAGTCATCAGATATCAAATGTACCCGATATCTCGTCAAATTTTGAGTTTTTTGAAAAAAAATCTTTGCAGGTTGTCTTTAAATATTATTTGCAATTAGAAAACATTACAAAACTTTTCTACTATGAATGATTTGTTATTTTTAAAAGAAAAATCAGTTTTTGGCTTAATATTTCACGACTGACACAAACCAATTTTTCTCAAAAACGTACCTTGTTATTTCTAATGTTTATACAGTTTTACAAACTGTATATCAAGAGCTATATTTCTGTATATTCAGTTACCTGGAAATCGACCTGCTAAGATAGTTGCGGCACGTTTATAGATATTTTTCATAGGATTTTCGTACATTTCCAACCATACCAGCACCAAAACTGGAAAGTTAAAAATTTTACAATACATTAAAATAAAGCTTTTATATTGTTCTTATAGGAACCGAAAACAATTTTTCAATAACTTTAAACATTGCAGAGATTTTTAAGTTTAAATATGTCATGAAAAAACCAGTTTTTTTGCTCATTTTCAACTTCAAATAGCTCTAGAATCTCAAAAACAGCACAAAATGGTCTGAAATTTGGCATGCAAGTCTAATTTAATGTCCTCTACAAGAAAAAAATACCCCGAGAACCTAAATTGAAAGAGTCCTATTTTCGAAGTGAATTACCCCTTTTTTTCAATTTTGCCCCATAGTGGAGTGCGGAACTCATCAGTTCCGCACACTTTTCTGCAGCCAGGTTTGAATATTGAACTAACATTAGGGTTACTTAAAGTCAGTTCAAACTCAGAGGTCAAAGATTTTAGACTTAAAGAGATGGATCTCGATTAACATAATTGTTTTAGGCATGCCATATCATGAAAAGGCTGAAGCTATACAAAACAGTGACTATAAATTTAAACAAACAAGAACTTTTTCAAAAATGCCCTCTACAAGATGACAATTCAAAAATTAAAATCAATTTAATTAAAATAAAACAGAAATCTCATCAAGATCCTTTAATCATCAAATGTATTTTTTATTAGAGGAGATTCCCTCTTAAAAAATTTATTGACTTTTAATTGCACATGTTAATATGATGATTCCGCAAATTCTAGTTGTATCGTGTGAGCCAATAAGTATATTCGATATTAAAGGAATGAATCAGCAAAAATAAAAGAAATGACAAAATATTTGTTTTTTTAACGAAACCAGAAATTCTTGTTGAAATTTCGCAATAAAAATTTAGAATAGATCTGGGTTCGTTCACTTATTACGTAACGCACTAGGGGGGGAGGGGGGGTCTAAGATTTCGTTACGGTTTGTTACAGGGGGAGGGGGGGGGTCTAAATTTTGTTACGTAACTTTTCAAAAATTATATTTTTTTATAATTTTTTCTATATTAATTTTAAATTTTTTTAACTTTAATTTAAATGAAAAAAAATTATTGTTACGTTATGGGGGGGGGAGGGGGGGGGGGTCTAAGATTTTGTTACGCTTTGTTACAGGGGGGGGAGGGGGGGTCTAAAAACTCGTTTTTTTGCGTTACGTAATAAGTGAACGAGCCCTCTGCTTTTATACGCACCGTGTATTTTGGAATGATTAACCTTTGGGAAGCAAGATGAAGAAGATATACAAAAATATTAAAACTTCAATTGACCCATTTATCATACTTGAATACATGTGAGCTGAAGCGGCTCGGTGGCGGAATGGTTTAGAACTTTGGGACCTAATTATTGCAATCCCGATACAGCGATCATGAGTTCGAGACTGGATATAGGAAATATTTCACTTGTCTTTTTTCGAATCATATGAACTGGAAATGAGGCTCACAGCCTTCCTTTTTAGGCTACCGGTAGAAATGTCATCAAAGGAGTGGTTCGGATCCAACTTTAAATTGTAGGTCTAGGTTTGAATGCAGTGGTTCCACACTCGTTAAACTCTCATTTGCTGCGAATCGCTCTAGTGCACCTCTGGATCACAATTGATCTAATTAGGGAAAGGTTTTTTTTTTCTTGAATAAGGTGTGAATATGATAAGTCCATTAATAAGCATAAAGATTCGCACTTTATTTACTAACCACGTCCATACAAACTCAACCATCAAATGCCTCTGAACAAAATGAATAAATTAAATTTTATAGACATTACTTTATTTGTGTCGTATTGGAAATTGCATTAAGTTTCCAAGAATTTCTTAGTTTGACAAAAACATTCTGGACGATAAGATCTCCTAAATCCTCGTTGCAATTGCGCTTAGTTCAAATTAATCATTTTCAATGTTGAAATACATAAATTTAACATTTTATGTGCATTTGATACTTTTTATTCGACTGGCCCGAGCACCATTGCGTAGGTTTATTTAAGATTTGCTCAATTTTTTGCTGAAAACTTACAATTTGCTTTTGTTTTGCAGCATCAATCTTCCCAGTTTGCTTTCGTGATGATCCACAGCTTGGCGAATGTATTGTTCGTGCAGTAAAAGTTCTTCAGCCAAGATTAATTACTGGAGATTTAGGAGAAGGATATATAATTCCAAAAATTGACCCTTTTTATATTCCAAAGTATTTGTTTTTAGGTTTTTTATTCGACAATATTAATGATTAAAGTATTTTTTGTAGGATTATATATGGAACTGACAGAGTTTTTAAAGCTGTATTGTCTGATGTTTATTTGAAAGGAATGAGCAATTTTAACATTGATAAACTTCAGTAAGTTATAGAATAGTGTTGAAATGTGTAAATGGCGTAGCTTGGGAAAGGTTTTGAGAGTTTATCAGAAACCAGGCTTTTTCA